ATTTCAATGGTGTGCAGTGGCAACTCCTTGTGGTTTTAACCACTTACCTGATGGGGCCGCTCATAGGGACTTTGGAGGCTAGTTTCCTACCCTGCCATCTCCATGCAACCTGCTCAAGCTTGTTGTGGTGGTGGATGGAGGATCTACCCTGTGCTCATCCTGACCCTGGGACTGTTCACAGTCAAGACAAGTTCATGCCCAGCCCAGGTTGTCAACACACCTGCTAGTATCTCCCTCAGATGTAGGCTGCCCCCCACCCAGACTCAGGAACCCAGGAAACACCATTCTGGGAAACCCATCTATAAAGACATCTGGAGGGGAAAGAAGTTTTGGTGGCCCTTAAGACATTTCCAAGTGCATCCTACCCATCCTCATGGCCGGGGGGGGGGGGGGGGGGGTGTCCATTTCCCAGCAGGACTAGCTCTTGGTACTTTCTTGTCCCCAAGATTTCTTGTTCCAAGCTTCCTTTACCACCTTCTTGTGGGTGAGGGGCCAATCTCAGGATGAATTGGGAGAAATCTGACTTAGTATGAGGCATGCAGGACACAAGTGTTTCTAATGGGGTTCCACAGATATAGTTCAGTCTGTGAAGTCGGAGGAAGGTCATATCTTCATTTTCACTAACTTTGATGGAGACTTGGCATTACCGTCAGCTATACTGAAGAACAGACTATGGGGACATTAGCTAAGCTGTGACCTTAATAACAGTGGAAACTACAGATATCGTATGTCACCTTACTATTTCTGCAGATATTTGAAATGCTGCTTAGGGTCACAACAGTGTTTATATTGTCTCTGGATCTTGTCATTTAGTGCAACAATCGGTATCACTTTACTGCAACTTTCAAGAACGTTTTAGCAAGAATATTTTAACATAATTTGGTTCTTTCTGAACTGTTAAGTGTTTTACTTCCAAAAGGGTTATTTGGAGGAATTCATTGGTATTATAGACTGCTAACAGCCCATGACCCATAAAAGGTTACAAACACCCCTCCCCCGCAAAGAAAGACTTATTAGTTTGACAGATTCAGTCTTTGGGGAAAAATTTTAGTAGTTCTGAAAAATGAAGAATTTTCGATGAGAGAAGATAATTCTGAGAATTTGTCAAGATTACTGGAACGAAAAGAAGTCTCAGAGACAGGTGGCTTCCCTCATGAGGAACTCTGTTCAATGGAAATGTGTCTATCAGCAATAAATGCCATTCTAAGTGTGACAGCATGAACAATGCCATCCTATGTGTGATCAGATGAACGATGGCATCCTAAGTGTGATTGGATGAACAAGGCCATCCTAAGTGTGATCAGATGAGCTCTGACAGATGTTCCACACCACACAAGCAACAGTGCTGTTAAGCAGGCACTCTTGTATTGACCCCCCCACAAATACCACAATATGCCTCTGAGATGTCTGTCACCCCAAACCCAAATGATCACTTTTTTTAAATCACTTTAGATTAGTCTTTGAAATTATTTTCCTATAAATAGAAAGAAGAGAGAGTATAGCACATGTTTATTCAGCTGTTGGATGTTTGGGCTGGTTTTAGCTTTGGGTTTTGACAAGCAAAGCTGCTGTGAAGATCCAGACACAGGTCACTCTTCAGACATATCTTCGTTTCTCTTGGGAGAAGAGTTGGAGTTGCATGTTTGTAAGCGTGTGCTTACTGTTCCGAGAAATTGACTGGAGGGGTGGCTTCAGTGGGTGACGTGCTTACTGTGCAAACACGCGGACCTGCGGTTCAATACTCAGCACCACACAGAAATGGGGCATGTAACCCAGCACCTAGGTGGAGGGACATGGAGTTGGGAAGATTCCCGGAGCTTGCTGGCTAGCCAGTCTAACCAATTGGTAAGCTCCAGCTTAGTGGGAGATCCTGTCTCAAAAACAGAGAAGGATGGCCAGTAAGATGGTTGGGTGGATGAAGGTGTTTGCCCCTCAACATGGATGGGGTGACCTGAGTTTGATCCCTGGGATCCACACAGTGAAGGGAGACAATCAACCCCCACAAGTCGTGCATGCCTCACACACAAAGTAAATTTAAGTGCAATAAAAATCTTATTAAATGAGGTGGAGAATGACCGAGGAGATACTCAACATTAATTTGTGTCCTCCATACACATATGTATTCCCAGCCAAATATGGACCCCTAGACACATGTGCACCCCCAGCAACACATGTACCTCCCTCTACATGCGCACCGATAGCCACATGTGCACCCACAGCCACACAAGCACACATAGACACACAAACACCAGATCGCTTTGCATCCTCAAGCACAATGTATGACTTTCAATCGCTCCACATTCTTTGACTGAGCTGTCCCAGGGGTGTGTGGTGGTGTGGTATCTCTCAGCAGTTTTAATTTCCATTTGCCTGATGATTCTTGATATCAGGACTTTTCTGTGTGCTGTTGGTCATTTGCATACCTTTCTTTGGTGAGGCTTGTTTCTTTTAGCCATTTCTGTGAGGTTATCTTCCTTAGGTATTATCGATGCAAATCTTTTGCCAGACTTGGGAATTGCAAATGTCCCATTTTGCCTCTGTTCTTCTGATTTTCTTAATGGTGTTTCAGGAGCAGGCATTCTCCATTGTGATGAAGTCAGGTCCATCACTTACAATCATTTTTTCCCCAAAGGTATATTTTGCATGTTCCAAAGATGTGAAGATTTCCTCCAGTGTTTTCTTCTGGGAAGTTTAGATTTTTAGCTCTCCATTTATGTGTATGAAAGTTTCAAGGGAAGCTAGTTCATGGGGCAGGATGGGTCAAGGTTTGCTTATTTGGGGGCATGGATGTGCAGCTGCTTCCACACCATTAGTTGAAAGACTCTTCTCCCACTGGATTGGCTTAGCACCTTTGTGGGGTCAAGTGACCACTGAGGTGTTATCTATTTCTGAATACTATTCTTTTTTATTGACTTCCATGTCTAAAATTTCATCACAGCTTAATTTTTAAAGATGGGAAAACTGGAACTGACAGACAGAAGAGCCTTGTACAAAGGCAGATAAAATAAGTCAGAAGCCAGCCTAGAACACGGCCCTTCTAAATATGCACCTCGGAGGAGGGGAATTGGGGGCAGATGTGATCTAAATACATTTTATGCATGTATGAAAGTGTCAAAGAATTTGAAAATGCATAGAAGGTTTACCAGAAGTTAGAAAAATTAAGAAGACAGTGATCTATCCTTATCCCAATGGGTACCCAAAGCCACAGAGCATGTTGAGAAGTTAAGGCATTCTTCATATGCAACAAGCCCACCATTTCTGCAGTTTTATGTGCAGGGGCACATAAAATTAGCAGGCATTTCTCTTTCCTTCCTTGTCATTTTACCCAGAGGACATTCCTTCCTTCTTCCTGCTAGATCTTAGTAACATTAGCAAATGACACTTTTCTTCCCTTACAATGAGAAGTTTTCTCTATTTCCTTAAATGAAACACTCCATGGCCTTTCTTTGTCAAATCCATGGGGGCCCACATCACTACTAGTGTGCTTTGGGGTTGAAATTAAGTAACAAGGGTTACCTGAACATAAGCACTCACAGATACTGTGACAGCCATTGAGGCTACTAAGCAGCTGTGAGCAGGTAGTGTGTGGGGATCGAAGGACACTGTTCATGTAAAGGTCTGAATCACATTTCAGTGGGACAGAGCAGAGTGGCATGAGATTTTAACATTCTTCATAGAACCATATACAATTGGAAACATGTAAATTGCTTATCTCTGGAATTTTCCATTTAATACTTTTGGAGCATGGCTGATTGGAGGTAACCAAAAACCTGGAAAAGAAAGCCAGAGTTAAGGGGAGACCACAAACATAAAGAACAGCGGGACGATGGATGCTAAGGAGCCCACCAGCCTGCCTGGAGGGTAGCTGCAGAAGGAACAGGCCAGCCAAAGTCTTCACAGAGCATCTCTTTCCCTTTGCACATGTTGCGCCACACCTGCAGGCTTTCCACTGAAAGATGGGGCCGGGGATAGTGCCATCTTCACACGAACGATGAATGCCAGGTTACAGAGGCAATGCTGCTGATATGTAGCATGCAGCATCTGGGACACAGCAGGTGCCCAGGGGGCTGTGATGGTCCATACCATTACTCTCCACCTCGGTCCTAAAGTGGCTGGAGGGCTGACCCTTGGTGGTAAGGACAGCCACTGTGGACCAGGGCATTCCATCTGCAGGCACAGACTCCTTCCTGACTCATCGTTCTGGTCTCAAGTCACCTCACCTCTCTGATCCTAGGCTCTGTATCACAAAAAAGGAAAATCTTACAGCTGGAGCTCTTAGGAAGAAGACCTGGCTTGAAGCCCAGAACAGCACCAAAGTATATGGCAACAAGAGGGTGGCTTCTTTCCCCTCCCAGAATGCTTGTCTCTGGAATCCCAGTCGTGGATCACTTGGCAAAGCCCAGAGAACCTGCCCCAAAGGCTAAAAGTTGCATGGTTCTGTGGTTTAAATCTGCCCTGCCTCCCCAAGCAAGTGATTGAAACTGAATCTCCTGTGTGGGAGTGTCTGATGAGAGGCATTTAAGGAATGAGGCTCCAGCTTCAGGCCTGGATTAACACCAACTACAGGGCAGTCTGGAAGCCTCAGATTCAGTTTCTTATATTCTTTCTTTCTTGCCATATGATACCGTCCGCCATGCCAGACACCAGCCCCTCAATCTTGGGCTTCCCAGTGTTCAGTGCTGTTCTTTGTACATAACCAGTTTCAAGCACTCTGTTACAGCAACACCGAATGGTTTAAAACACATCGTATTTGGAAGTGGTAGAGGACAAACCTCTCCCATGACAGGTGTGTTTGTGGCTACTGTGCGTTCGCACAAATTAAGGAGAAAGCCTCAGACTCAGAGCGGCATGAGGCCAGAGGCAGGGACAGGGTGTAGAAATGAGAATATAGTCTCAGAAGGCAAGAGAGAAACGAAAGACAAATGTTGGTGCCACCATGTCTGACAATTAGCATATACACAAAAATGTGTCCACACTAAGTCAGCCAAGTACAGGTGAGATTTTATAACAGGAATCTTTATTGGACAGAATCACAATATATATAATTTCCCTTGTATTAACCATCAATTCTATCATAAAAATATATTACAACATTTGATATATATTCACAGAACACAAGCCATTGTAAACAGAGCAGGCAGCATTGGCCTTGGATTCAAATCTCTCGAGTCCCATTTCAGCAGAATACAGCTGTTGGCAGGTGAGTCGCGGGGAAGGTAAATGTTGCCACGTTGGGAGACAGAGTAGTGATACTTTACTTAAGGATAAATGGAACCACGGTTTCGTTCATTAAACTAGAAAGCAAAGTTAAAAACTACAAATGACGTAAGTATGACACTAAACTTTTGCTTCTTCAGGTGCTCAGTGTTCGGCTGTTGGTGCTGGACTTCCACCATATGTAGTACTCACTTACGGGCGTGCACACTGGTGGGTGGAGCGTTGACCCTGCAAACACAAGTGTCTGCCTCCATTTTCCTAAGACTCTCCTGGGGAGGACTGCAACACTGTAGAAACCAATCAGGCGCTGCCAGAAATAGCTTTTTATTTTCCCCAAATTTTAGTTTTCAGAACTTTTCTTGAAATGTTAAGACATAAAATGCATTTCCTGGTAGAATTCCAGCCTTAGCCTTGCTGGATGCACTTGACACTGCCCAGCTGTGAGGACCAGTATGTCATCTACTGGTGACTTTCTGGATGCCTCAAGCTATGGATGACACAAGCCTCCTCAGCTGCCTTTGCAGATAGCCCAAACAAATGAAATGCATGAAAACACAGGTGTGTAAAGCACTGGCCATTGGTGCCCTGGTGCCCAGGAGCCTCCAGGATGGCACACTAGCACTGGCCTTCCACCAGCTCCCCTCTCATCTGCAGGAAGTGATGCTTCTTCTACCGGATACTGGGCAAGAAAAATCTACTGTGCTTTGTTGGGGAGGAAAGATGAACATGGCTGATAGTGTCTAGTCTCATCCACTACACAGGATACAACACCAGAGGGAGAGTTATATCTACCCAAGAGCGTCCTCACCAAATGAGAAGCCCACACATTCAGATGCAAGATTTCAAGTCCTTCTCCCAGAGGTGCCTAAGAAAAGAACTCGATCCAGTCAACATCGAGTTAACTGCCCCAGGAGGTGGGGGGCAAGGCAAGGCACCCTTTTGACTTGCTGTTTGCAACTCAGAGCAATGGGGTTTCCTGCAGGAGACCCTGATGGGGTTGGCGGGACACCAGATCCCATGAATGCCCCTATGTGCCAGAAGAAATTGTGTTTACACATTTCTTGTGAAACAGGATTGTTGAGGTTTGGAATCATTTCAGTTAGCAAGGAAACTTGGCATTCGAAGCTTTCTCAAGCAAGGCGGGTTGGTTACTATTAATAATTCAAGGAAAGGTTTGGCAACAGAGGAGCTGAAGAAAGGCAATGGGAGGTTGGGCATCGGGGGATTGGATGTTGGGGATTTTAGCCAGCCTGAGCAATTACTATGATCTGGTTCCAGTCACCCGGACACATTGCAGGAATGTCATTGTGATGGCCTCTGATGCTTTCTATCCCAAACCCATTCTCTTTGGGTGTTTTGGAGTGTCGCTGAAGCCTGAGACTACCTGTATCCAAACAGAGATTCTAGGCTCCTTGAAACCATCACGTCATGATCTCTGCTTCCATACTAGGGAGTAAGTATAATGGTGACTATGTAGACTTACTGGGCACATGTGAAGGGACCTGGGAAATACCATGTCTCAGTGTTCCTAAGAGCATACACATCCTAGGGGTACACATAGGTCTTTGACTCTAAAATATCAATTGTTTAAAAAAAATCCTTATATATTGGTGTGCATGATAAAACAGAGCTCTGCTGCTATTGGTTTGATTCACATCTGACTTTTAAATGTGAAGTATGTATTTACATGACACATTGCAAGAAGGAACTGTTCATTGCCCTGCAAAGGAAGGTGAGGGTGTGGAATGCCTAATAAGTGTGAGGACAACCCTTGGACCATGACTGTTGTCACTGTACACCATGCTGGGTTAACTCTTCCATTTGCCCCTGGGGATTGGTAGCAGTATGCCTCGGCCTGTGGGGATGTTAATTGTGTCACACTCCCCTAGAGAAAATGAAGACACACATTTGTCCCCACTTAGGATATCATCAGAGGAGGTGCTCAAAGAGAATGTGCCTTGGGGCTCAATTGTAGCTGTGTGATAGCTCATGCCTGCAATATCAGCACCCAGGAGGCTGAGGCAGGGGGATTGCTAATCACTGTAAGATATGCCACAAGTTTGAGGCCAGTGTAGACTATACGGTGAGTTCAAGGCCAGGTGGGACAACCTGTCTTAAAAATAAGCAAATAAGTAAGTAAGCGAGTAAATAAATTATTAAACAGAGGAATGAACGCTGTCATTAAGAATGAATGTTGGCTTGGTTGCATACCAGAACTTGATGACATGACCTTATTGCTGAAAATGCTACACACATTAGTCCCAGGACATGGTAAAATCAATACTGACCAAGAAGCTTCTTCCTTTGTTGGCTAGCTCTCATATACTAGAAGGTGCTATGGCAGACTCCTGGGGAATGTCATCAACAGTCTTAGCCATCTGTGAGCCCTGATAACTATGATAAAAGACCAACATGGCAAGATTTTTCCCATGAGTACAACAGTATCACAAATGTTACGGGGTAGCTAATCGTTTTCTGGTTGGATTTAAGGCCGACTACACGGGAGGAAACACAGGCCTGGTTCTGCAAATCTGGCCGAGAAGTCACGGTTGGGGAGTTTACAGGCTCCAGGGTTGTGTGTGTGAGAAAGTGGTATTTTGTAGATTTATACTGTTATTTTGATAAATGGAAACAGCATTCAACTGCCCTCTTAATGTGTATCTTTCTGCTCACAGATTAGTGCAGCTTGCAGACCCCATCAGAGAAGTTTCCTTATGCAGGGGGACGGTGGTTAGTGGAGAAACTCAGAACTGGCCAAAGTGCGGAGAATAAATGACCAGAGAGTGCACAGTCACAAATAGGATATCTGTGTCACACACACATAAATAAATAAATAAATAAATAAATAAATAAATAAATAAATAAATAAAATTAAAAAAAAAAAGAAAAGGAAAGAAACTCAACATTGGTCTCTAGGATCTCACTTTTCTGTGCCTTTAGATTGGGCAGTTTTCAACCCTCAGAGAAGTTTATTTTTGCAGTAAATATAGTTTAATACAGAGACCCACAACTGGTCGAACTCCAGAATGTAAGAGACTCATAGCGTACTCAGTGCTAAATAAGACATCTATGTGATACCTCCTCCACCAAGGCTCAGGGACCATCCTTGAAGAGGGAGTAGAAAGATGGTCAGAGACAGAGGTTGGGAGGACGGCAGCAAACAGATGTCTTCTGGATATGACAGTGACCCATTGTACACATGAACTCCCAGTGGCTGTGGCTGCATTCACCTGCATGCGATAAAGCCAGTCGAAATCCCAGCGTGGATGAGGGAGGCGGTTACAAAGCCCCACTCTCGGGCTGAGAAGCTATTGGCAGTGGTGGCTGCTGGAGGGGTAACAGTTTTCTTCTGGGGTCTGGCCCTGGGAAGATCGGCCATGCTCTGGTAGACAGCCCTCTAACCCCCTCCCCCCACCACACACACACACACACCGGCAACACCATTTGAACTCAGTGGTTAAAAAAGAAGAGTACATGAAGTTGGGAGGGAGAAACTGTGTCGGGAGAGGGGTGGAAAGAATTGGAGGGAAGGGCTAGGTGGCAAGTGAATAAGTAAATAAAATATTTAATTAAAACGAGTAAGTGTCAATTCCCTCCAAATGAATTCAGTTCCTTTCTCTTTCCCCTCTCCCTCCTTCCTTTCCCTTTCTTCCTTTCTTCCCTCCTGCTTTTTCATTCTTCTCTTTTTGGATAGCTAAATATCTGTGGATTTTTCTTCCTATCATCTTTTTTTTTTTTTCTAATTTTGTTATGACTTCAAGAAGAACCACCTTGTTGGCCACAGATGGCATTCACTGTGTCTCGGGAGGTACTGCCCACTTCTGAACAGCCCCTGGACAGGGTTTCTGAATGTACACTAAGCCCCGCCCTACTGGACCTTTACCAGGCTGGTCCACATCTCCTACATCTCACCCCATGCTGCAGCAGCAGCTCTGGCCCACTGCCCACTGCCTCTGCAAGGTCTTCTAGGGCCTCCTGTAAACAGTGCTGAGCAACACCCCTTACCTAGGCCCACATAGACACTCATCTCCTCCAGGGACCTGGCAGAGGAGACTCGGGCTTACGGAACTACGGGGTGAGAGGTGAGAACTCCCACAGCTCTTGGTCAGATCCAGTTTTACCACCAGCCATTCCGCATGCCATTGCAGGAGCCCATTCTTTGGACCTCTAGCACTGAGTAGTCCCTAACTTCTGGTGTCTTGGTCAGGCTGATAGACACTACCTTAAGCTCCAGCTGTGTCCTCTCTATATGCAGGATCACTGAAATTTGACAGCTCCATTCCTCAATGGCTCCTCCCTTCTGGGAAGCTGACTGCCCCAAGTGTTCAGCTCCTTCGCTTCACTCTGTGCTTGGGGAAGGAGCTCAGGAGGCCTTTAACTCCACAGGAGCTTCTGAAGATGGGAGGAAAAGTTTGGGTGGAAGTGGGAGCTGGCAGAGGAGGTAAGGAACTTACAAGGCAGGCTCCCCACACACAAATTCCTCCACTAAACCTGTAGGAACAAACTGGAGATGCCGAGCTCTTCCCCCTCTCCCCACCCAAGGCTCTACACATCATCTCCATGTGAGTCCTGACGAGTCAGGGAATGAGAAGCCTCACTTGGGTCTTGGGGAATGCTGTAGGCCACTGATGCTCATGAAGATGATAGACCAAAGTTTCTTGAAAGTGCAAGTTGACAAGGAGTCCTCGACACCTAAAACACTAATCCTGTAGTGTCTCTGCAGAGGGGCTATCACTGCTGGGACAGAGTTGAAAGATCACCTGAGTCAGCTGCCTGGATCCCAATATATGGATCATAGACTCCCAAGTCATGCCAGCTTGCCTGAATTCACCTCTGAAGGGGGAACTCAGGAGTTCATATGGAAGCACCTCCTTTGGTGACACTTGGGGATCGGGATGTTTAATAGCCACTGTCTCCATTCAGACCCTCAGATTCTCAGGAAGGCAATGGGAACCTCACAGTCTCCAGATCTTTCCCCATGGTGTTCATGGGCTGGATGATATGAGCTGATCCGTGCACTTTCTGACACCTTATAGGATATTCTAGGAAAATCAGGCAACTTACTTAAGCCTGTGTTAAGGTCAAATCCTGACAACACACAGCCTTCAGGTTCATCCAGCAACCACATCACAGCCAAGCACAGATGACTACCTGCATCTAAGCCTGGGAGGGAGTGACAGCCAGGACACAGGCTTGGCCCGATTCTGTCTACCTTCTTTCAAGGAGAGAGACACATGAAAAAAAAATCTCACAAACACAAGGCGAAAGGTTTATTGCTCAGATTGATGGGGGCCTGAGCTGAGCCCTGGAAGAAAATATAATAGAAAAAAAAGCCAAGGAGGTCACCAAGCCATGCTTGTCTCCTAGTTGAATGTCTATGGGAGGTGAGCTAGCCAGACACCCAGACATCAAAGGCGTACCGTTCAGCAAGCATCCTGTATGCCCAAAGGCCCCACGTTTCTGAGACCCTGACCTCTAAGGAGGGGTGCAAGAGAATGCAGATTGGAGCACAGAGATTACAAAAGGAAAGCAGTGTGTGTGCGAGACCAGAACTGAGCCCACGGAGTGGATTTGGAATCTGGAAGAGGCCTCTCTATCGGCATCACTACCAAACTTCACAAAATGGTTTCACCTGCCCAGTGGCCCTCACGTGCAAGCGCAGTGAATGTGACTCTGGAAACCAGTGGGAGCCAAGCAAGTCATGGAGACCTTTCACCCTGGGGGACAGAGTCTTGTTTTATATACCTCATGCCTGAGAAAACTACACGTTGTTTGGTGAATTTGATTGCCAGAAGGAGGTAGATTGTTCAAATGGGAGCAGTGACCATGGTGGGGTGGGGGGTGGGGGGGTCTGGGGGGGTGTTTCAGAGATGTGCAGACTGACACTAGATGCTTATGGGAAGGCAACTGCCGCGGCACTGGCTGGTGCCCATTGCCAATGGAGCCGCTTCCTTCGCGCTTCCCTTGGGGTTTTCAAGCCTGTGTCTAAGTGATAATGAAAACTCTCCATCAATGGGCTTATCTGGGGTTCTTGTCAGTGGCACGATGCCAAGGTAACGGGTTTTATTAGATGGTAAGCAGTTTCAGAGGCATAGTGAAAATTACGGCATGCAGCCTTCCGGAGAAGTGGTGTCGTGGGTGGCAGTTCCTGCTTCTTAGCTAGGGAAGGGACAAAGAGATCTCGTCGCAACTCAGGGTGCAATATGTTGCCTACACAGAGTAAGCAGAGAAAGGATTTGTAGGGTTACTCTCCCTCCAAACCCATATGGGAGACGATGAAGCCCCAACCTGCCTTTGTTTGTCTACTGACCTCACCCTCTGGGTCACCATCCCTGTCTTGCCCAGCTTCAGGGGGATTTGGGTGAAAAGGGAGGAGATTATTTTGTGCATGCTGTCTTGGTTCCCTGCTTGATTTGAACTTCCCTAGCACTTTGAGTGTTGGGACAACAGAGGGTAGATACAGCTGCTCTTTGCTAGGAAAGCTACAGAAGTGACTGTTGTAATTTGAACTAGATAGGACTGAATGGACTCGAACCAGGACAGTTTTGTTCCAGAAACAAACATGTGGCAGTGTTGTGCTGGTAGATGGGAGACAACCAGCTTGGGGGGGTAAGGCCTGATTTACAACACTTAGTTATTCTGAGTGTATAAAAACTTCCATCATGGCTAATTTCAAGCTTCCTGTGTGACATCCCTCATCACAGGAGGGAGGGGGTGTACCTCACCAACTCCCCCGTAAGATTGGCTGCAGAGAGATGGGTACAAAGTCCAAACAAGTGTCCAGAAGAGTCCCCTCTAGACCCCAGGTTCTTTTTCTCTACCAAGGCAGGTGTGAGCATACCTCTCCCAGCAATGGGAAGATATTAAAGCCTCCTTAGATGTTACAACTATCTCCATGGAAACTAGGAAGCCTGACAACACTAAGCCTGATGGAGCTGTTTTCTAAATGAGTTGCCAAGAGTTAATGATAGTCCATCTTTTCAAATAGACAAGCAGACATTTCCTCTGCCTTTAACTACTGGGGCTGCCTGGCAGGGAAGAGCAACATTCTTTGGGCTGGTCCCTGGTGGGTAGTTCCCTCTGTACTTCTGAGACTAGGATGTGTGGAGCTATAAGGAAAGAAAGATCCTTCTGACCTGATGGCTCTCCACCCTTTCCACCCAGAGGGGTCTCCTACAGGGCTGAGAAACAACTGCTCTGAGCATTCTCAAGTCAGTCTGAAAGGATGAGATGGGAAGAAGGCATGGACCCCATGGTGTGTGTGTGCGTGCGTGTGCGTGTGCGTGTGCGTGTGCGTGTGCGTGTGCGTGTGTGTGTGTGTGTGCAGGCATGTGGGGACTAGAGGTCAATCTCAGTTGTTGCTTCTCAGCCACCATCTACTTTGTTGTTTTCTTTCTTCTTCCTTCCTTCCTTCCTTCCTTCCTTCCTTCCTTCCTTCCTTCCTTCCTTCCTTCTTTCTTTCTTTCTTTCTTTCTTTCTTTCTTTCTTTTCTTTTTTTTTTTTTGAGATCTGTCACTGGCCTGTAGCTCACCAGTTCAGCAAAATCTTGGCTGACCAGTGAGCCCTGGGGAGCCCCCTTCTCCGGTGCTAGGATTACAGGTGCACACCACCATGTCCAGTTTGCTTTTAGTGTGGAATCTTGGGGGTCAGACTCAGGTCCTTGTGCCTGTACAGTGAGCATTTTGCTGGCTAAGCTACTTCTCCAGTCCTTAGTTTTTAATGAGACCTAGACAGTGGCTCCCAGTGGGTTGGCGTGTACATTATAGAAACAGCATCCTATACTAATTGCACTCTGTCATCAGCGGCACAAAGCACTCTTGTGGTGACCTTGGACAACCCCCGCTTTCTCGGGACAGAGTTACAGAATGAGGGTAATGAACCACGAGGATAATGGTACCCAGTATCTGAAAACTAAGACTGCATCTCTGTTATGTCAGCTCCTGTGCATCCCCCTCACAGGATGTGATGGGCAAGACGTCTAAGACAAGAGGGAGTCCTTCCTACCGACTCAGATCTCAGATGGGGAGATAGGACAGACCGGACACCTCCTTCCTGCTTTACCGGGCTCGCATAGCTATGGCATGCAAATCAGAAGAAGGTGACTTCCTTCTCAGATTTCAGAGACTCTAACATTATCTATTACCTGTCTATTGAGACCACTTTCATGCTACGATTGTCAATACACGCAAACATCAGTTTGTTTGATGGAAGAGGGACAAAAGTTGAATCCAATTTATCATTCCTAAGACAACTGGTAGGCAGCAAACTGGTTGTTTAAACACTTCCCCATTGAGTGCAGAGCCCAAGGGTGTCAGCTGAGCACAATGTAGTTGGCACCAGCTAGATAATATTTGGGTTACAGCAGCCACCACTACCAAGTGGAAAAGATATGCCATATTAGATCTGGGGCCAGATGGCCACAGACAGCCTCACTTTCAGCATCACTGAAATGTCCCTTGGAGCATGGAGCCCCATGACCAGTGGTTAGCAAACAGGTGAGCGTCATGCCCTACACCTGCCACCAGCACTCAGTGTCCTCGACAGTGACTAGCCTACCATCCTCTGGGAGGCCTTTGGTGAGTCTAAATGCTCAAAACACACTCCCAAGAAGAAAAGTCAGGACATGACCCATGGCCATCCTTTGGTGATGGGACAGTCTGATATCTACCCTGGAAGAGCCGAGACGCAGGCCCCAGAACTTGTTCAGACATCAGCAACACTGCAGTCACCAGACAATGGTGGCAGTTCATGTCCATCCAGGAGTCCCCACCTCCCTTTGCTCTGTCTACCTCATCCTGAACTCCCCGGCAGGAGAGTAGTCCTTCATTCTGACACTGGCAGAATATTCTGGCTGTGAGAGTCACCTGTGAGGCCCACGGAACGGGAGCGGATGGAGCGTCTATTGAAGATCCTGTTCAGAAGATCCTTGCAGCTCCTACGGTATTGGTGTCGAAGCAAGGAGTATACGAAGGGGTCAGAGGCAGCCTTGCTGTAGGCCAAGCACTTGGACAGCACACCCCAGTGGGAGCCGATGGGTGCTGTGGAGAAGAGTTCCACCAGCCTGTGGAGAGATGGGAGTGTGTTACTGAGGGGCATGTAACCATGTCAGGTAACCTCAAAAGCAATAATGATACACACCGATGAAAATGATGGCAATGGACATTGATTAGGCACATACTCTAAGATATGACAAGCTCATGTCCCCAAGCTCATAAGGGCCATCAACTCTAAAGGCGAGATTTCAAGCCAGTTCCACCTCTGCTTCTGACCCCGGGCAAGTCTTGGTACTCTGTGGGTCTGCATGTCTTGCCTGTAGAGTAAGGAAGTCAGATGGGCTTGCTTCTGTGATCTTTTAATCCACGAGAGTCCAATTTGGCTCTGCCTCAAACTCAGTTCCGCCTTCCTGAGGAGTCTATGTGGGAGGGAGGGCTGAGAGAAAGCTCGGCAAACATTCTGCAAAGCTCCAGGAGAGCATCTGCCAGTGAGGAAGAGCTCTTCTTAGGACTGGGGTCTTGATGGCCTCTGACGACAGAGCAGTCAGGAGACTTGAAAGTGGCCTTCATCTACTGAGGAGGGCAAGGGAAGATCCGTCCTGTGTGTTCAAGAGTTCAGCTCTTCGAGTTCTCCTGGTAGCCATGGACCTCACTGAGTGGTGTAAACCTCAGGCTTCGAGGGCGGTAAGAATTCCTGGGTCCTCACTCCTACCCCTAATCATCATTACTCTATCCCAAGTGTGCCCAGCCCCACTAGTTAGACTTGAGAAAGTATCTAGCATTAGCATAAGTTCAAAGAGACCCACCAAACTTGGAGTTTAGAGACCTTAAATCATCTCTCCTCCACCCATTGTTAAATGAGGAAGTGGAGATCCAGAAAGAAGAAGGACAGCTGCAAGCCTAGTGTCTGTTTCCAACCAGGTTCTGGCAGCTGGCCACCGCCTGGGACATCTCCAGGAGAGCAGGCAGTGGTGGCCCTCAGCCTGGTGGGTTGCTTGGGAGAGGGCTCAGAGACAAGAGGGACAGAGGGTCAGCTGTGACTCTGCTGTCAATTTGGTTTTCCTAGAGTCTTCTTGGGGTTGAGATTGTGCGACGGGTCTCCATTCGAGTCAGTTGAAGGATAGGACAGGCTCTGTGTGCCATTCCCCACTAACAGACCTCATCCTGAATGCATCTCTAGTGAGTCCAGTCTGAGGGTTTATTTGGCTTATTCTTCCATACGACTGACTTTTCATCATCAAAGGAAGTCAGGATAGAAACTCAAACAGGGCAGGAACCTGGAGGCAAGAGCTGATGCAGAGGCCATGGAGGGGTGCTGCTAACTGGCTTATTCCTCGCGGCTTGTTCTATCTACTTTCTTGTAGAACCCAGGACCACCAGCCCAGAGATGGCACCACCCACAATGGGCTGGGCCCTCCCCCATCACTCACTAATTAAGAAAATGCCTACATCCTGATCTTATGGAGGCATTTTTCTTAATCGAGGCTCCCTCCTCTCAGATGACTTTAGCTTGTGTCAAGTTGACATAAAATTATCCAGCTCTCCATGTGATGCCAAATCATGTTTCCCAAATGGCCTGTATTCTATATATTGTTGAGGTTGGTCCTAGCATCATGGCTCTCCCCAAAGGATAGGTAGGTGTGTGTGTGTGTGTGTGTGTGTGTGTGTGTGTGTGTGTGTGTGTGTGTGTGTGTGCAGGTACACATATGAATGCATCCATGGAAATCAGAGAACAACCTTAGTGTGTTCCTTCCTCAGACACCTTTCACATTTTATTTGGGACAGCAGGGTATCTCGCTGGGCTGGAACCTCACTGAGTTGGGTAGGAAAACTGGCCGACCAGCAACTTTGCAGAGAACTGCCTGACTCCATCGCCCATTTTGTCCTTGCTGAGGTTACAAGCAAACATTGTTCCACCCAGCTTTTGACATGGGTTCTGGGGCTCTGAACTCATGATTTATGATTGCATGGAAAACATATTGCTATTTGAGCCATCCCTCCAAACTCCCAAAAAGAATTTTTTTAAATGATCAATTATAAAACCATTCATCAAGATCAAAAGTAGTATTTGGGGGCTATGTAAAGTAAAATTATAGTATTTGATTCCCAAAAACTTTATCTGAGGTCTGAACCCCCCTCAGATGATTTCCAGTTTGTGTTTCCTTTGGATCAAGCTCTCACTGTGTGTGCTTTCTCGTCTCACAATGACCCTGCAGAGAGGGCCTCATTCCCATCTTACAGATGAGGCCATTGAGGTCCAAAGAGTTTGAGCAGCAAGCCGGGGTCTCCAGCCAGAGAAGTGAGAATCCACCCTCTAAACTTGACTAGAGACCATGCTGGGACCTGGATCTCAGCATTGCAGGGTGACAAGATGCACTTTAGGGACCTTTTATCCCCAAGGGGCCCTTTCCATGAAGTCATGATTTGCTGTTTTAAACATTTGTCTTGTCGCTCCCCATAAAACCCGTGACAAGTTCTGCTTTAAAGACATGATTTGAACCCTGGACTTTGGGAACCAGAGACCTCATTCTTCCTGGTTCCAGGCTGCCTCACAGGCTCCTGCATTGTTTCCAGCTCCACAGTGTGCCTGACACCTTTGCTTTCAGATACTGCAAGTAAGGCAGCACGTGAGATGCTCTTCGTACTTCCTCTGCCCATCACCGCTCCTCGGGCCCTTGCTCTTTCTGTCCTGTCCCTGTCTGTCTGTCTCTCCTTGTAACATTCTGCACACACAGACACATAGACACAGACACACAGGCACAAACACAGACACACAGGCACAGACACAAACATACAGGCACCCACACACACACACACACACACACACACACACACACACACACACAAACAGAGACACACAGACACACAGACCCAGACTCACAGGCACAGACACAGGCACACAGGCACACAGGTACACAGGCACACACACACACACACACACACACACACACACACACACACACACAGAGTGTATATGCATTGAAGTGCAATGCAAGTCACAGAACATTGCTTGGGAAAATAGCCCAATTATCCTCAAGGCTTCTGGAGACTCAATCTGCATATGTCTGCATATGCAAAGGCCTGTGAGCTCTAAGCGAATGCTTTAGGCTTTTATGAGACATTAGAGTGGAGGAGTCATTTATTAATAGAACGTTAACAGTCGGGAGCCACCTGCACATTAACCTCTTTCCCCTCTCCATCATTCCATTACTCTGGAAAGCTATAATAATGGGGCCATCAGATCCACAAATGCCTCCAAACCTGATCCCGATGATTTACGACAACTGTAATTATTTGTAAGTATAGATTGCTACACAGACAGATGATAGGCTTACAATCACTTGAAGACATGCAAACATTAATCCAGAAAATATTTCCCAAGAGCCTGTGGGTAGGAACATGCAGTGGCCCTGAAGGCCCTGCCTGGTCACTCCAGGAACAGTCTAACTGACCCAGAGCTCAGAGGAGCTACATGACTAAAACAGAGATATGTCAGGCCTCCATTAAGAGCTCTTGCAAAAAAATAAAAAAAATAAAAATAAAAATAAAGAAGAAGAAAAAAAAGAAGAAGAAATGATAGATGGTACCTGAATAACACCTAAAGCCTGGCTTCCACATGCACACAAATGAATTGGCACACACATGGACCTACACATATACATGCATGCATGCATGCACACAGCAGATAAATTGAATTTTTATTGTACTTATTATCCCAGTAGAGAATTGCCATGAAAAGAATTGATTGTATTGTTTTTTATCATGCTAATATCTTGGAAGTTATAAACCTGAAGTAGGTGCACCTTCATTTGGACAGGCAGGCCACCCATGTCTGGTGGCTGTCATGTTAAAAACACTACTGTAGATCCCATTCATGCTGTCTTCTCTGCTTCAATTATTTCTCCTCCTCACACGCACATGGCCATACCCACTTCACAAGCTTTGTCCAGTAGCCTGGCCAGGAAGCTCCATTCTGTCTCAGAGCCCTGGGTTCTGGCCCTGCTGGACGGAATGGGTCTGACTAACTACAGGCTCTATTTGCAGGGCCAGGGTTCCTACCAGAGGGCTCTTGGAAGTCTCTTCAATTCACCCTTCATCTTCAGGGGAACTTTTACAGTCTGCATAGAGAAGGTGCTGGAGACACACTCGACAAAGTGATGGGAGGTGAGCGTGAGTGCTGTCGTGAGAGATTTGCTTAGGGTAGTTCTGCATATACACAGAGAAGACAAGTGATGAGGTGATGAGATGGGGTGGCTTCCCCTGATCTAGGTTCTATACTGGAGGAGGTGATAGGGTGACATCCTCTGATCCAGGTTCTATACTGGAGGAGGTGATGGGGTGGCATCCTCT